GGATAATCCCTTGGCAGCCCTTCCAAAAGAGGACTGTCTTCTTTAAAAGAAGGCACATGGCCAACTAGCAGGGACTCTAATCTTCAGGGGAACACTGCAGAGAGGGGATGTGGTGGCCACTGGGGAGAGGAGAGGAGACAGAGATGTCACAGAATCATAGAATGGTAGAGTTAAAATGGGTCAGAAGGCCACTGGGTCCAGCTCCCTGCTATTGCAGGACCATCCCATTCAGATGGCCATCCAGACACTTTTTGAATGTTTCCAGCCAGGGAGAGCCCACATCTTCCCCAGGTAATAGAATCACTTGTTGCACTGCTCTGACAGTGAGGAAATTCATCCTGGGGTCTAGTCTAAATCTGGTTTCTTTCAGCTTAAAAGATCTACTGAATAGTTTTTTAATTATAATTGTTCCACTTAAATAAATAAAATCATTTAGTTTTATATTTTTATATTGTTATGGATTTAAGAATGTATTTTGTGCTGCCTTGGGCCTTTTTTAATGGAAAGGCAGCATGTAGATGTTTTGAATAAATGTCAGATCAGACCAGACTACTTATCTCTGCACCAGCATTACCAATTACTCTTCTGGTTTAATTAACAGACCTTTGTTTACCATTGCAAACCCAACATTTTCAACAAAAATCCTGAAACACCATTATTCATTGTCCGCAAGGTGACAGTTATCTAATAGCAGTTTATATGTAAATGAAGACTTCAAATTAAAACTCAAGGCTCCAAGGGATCACCATCTGTCTTATCTATTGTTTAAAATGTTATCAACTCATCCAGAAATGCATACCTCTATCTGGGAACAAATTCCATAGTTAAGAGAAAATATGGCTTGTTGTTCCTACCATACATCTTAATATTATTCTAGAAAAGGTATGACATTTTCCCACCAGTTTTAAACAAGAGCTTTATGCATATCTTTACAATACAACTTAATCAACATTTAATAGGAAAAAAAATCTGGATCCTTTGTTGTTGATTTCATAATCAGATAACTCAAGATTCCTGCAATGTGGAGTAGATGGAAGGTAGTTCTCCAGATGTCTGGGACTTAAATTTCCCAAAGGTCTTGCCAATGTTCCCAGTGGTCTGGAAAGCTCCCACCTGTCCCATATTTTACCTCAGTCAATCTGGTTCAACAGTTCATTTATTATTCTACACTGCTTGAACATCTGAGCTTACTAGTTTGCTTGAATGGCAGTGCATAACGCCAGAGGAAAGCTTGCATTCTTCTGAGAAGAATTTCCTGAGGGAGAATATGCAGATTACCTAGGAACAACTGGCCAATGCATGATAACAGATCATAGCCTGAAGTGCTGGATCCATCCTACCTAATCTTGGAAGCTAAGCAGAGTCAGGCCTGGTTGGAATCTGGATGGGAGACTTGAGTCTGGCATTGAGCAGGTGGTTGGACCCAATGGCCTGCTAGGTCACTTCCAATTAATTATATGATTCTATGATACTAAATAGCACCTTTAGATAATACATGTAGATACCACAAAAGCAGGTGCTACCTTAGATGAAAGGGGGGATGCCCTTTCTAAATATAAAGTTGCTGAGAGATCTATAGAAGAAAAATTAAAGCAGTTCTAAATGGAAAAGGCTAGGGAGTGATGCATTGCCTAGTTGGCAGCCAAGCAGAGACATAATACACACATATTTATTTATTTATTTATTTGCAATTCTAAGCAGGCGGAAGAAATGAGAGATATACTTCTGCCACAATTGGTGAACTATGTTTAGCACAGTACATTATGTTCAACTTGTTACAGAGAAACATTCCCTAACCACAAGATCTGAAGATCCCCACATTTCAGCATAGCAGAAGCTGATATGAATGCAAGTGATAGTTATTTCCTAGTTCTCTCTAGCTTTTCAATGGGTTATTTTCTAGGCTGTTCAATATATAATAGTGTTCAATTTCTATAATAGCTCACTGCAAAAGACAAAGGCTTCAGAAGAAGAGAAGGAAATATGAGATGGCTCCATTCTGCGAAGGAAGCCACAGCCTTGAGCTTGCAAGAGCTGAGCAGGGCTGACGAGGTCAGAACGTTCTGCAGGGCACCCATGCATAGCATCGGCAGAATTTGGAGGCAGCTTGATGGCTTATTACAGTAACAACATACTATGCAACAATACTGTAGTTAGATTTTGGATAAACAATAAGAAATGTGAATGAACACCAGACCTTTCCTGGTGGTCACCACCATCCTATGCTTCCTGCCAATGGATGGGAAGAGACTGCTTTTCTATAGGAGCCAGCTCAAAGCAAATGCCATAAAACCAGTATGGGAAATGTACCCCTGTCACCTTTGATCAGTAGATTTGCTTTACCTCTCATCACACCATTCTCCATTAACACCAACCCATATTTATATTTCAGCAACATCAAAACGGATGTTCTTCTGCACAAATCGGGGGATATTCTGACCTATTTCTCCAAGCAGTGAAATGTTTTGTCTGCCTTTTCTTTCTACAGGGCCAGCTGGAATCCTGACAGTAACCAGAGTATTAAAATGCATTTCCTGACCACAAATGTGCCTGGGCTAATGCTCTGCAGAGAGCTGTGGTTTTCTTGGAGCTAGGCCAGGCTCACACACTTATGCATGCTGAGCAGTATCTGCGCGGAGGCTTTCTCGCCTCAGCAGGGAGCTTGTAGGAAACAGACATATTTGGCTGTATTCTACCCACTCCCACACAAACTGGTGCCCTCCAATTGTCTTTACCTGCAATTCCCAGCATCCCCCAACTGGCCATTCTGTTGCAATCCAGTGCATCTGGAAGGAACCAGGTTGGGGAAGGCTGCTATATCTTTTTAAAGGGAGGGCAGAGCTATCTGACAGGACCAAGGCTCAATTTTCTCTGGTTATGTTCAGGAATTGGTTTCAGGCTCCACCTCAATTATTTCCACAAATACACCCTTTTATTTTCTGCTGTGCAAGTGAATGGTTGTCATTTTCTACTTGACATTAGATATCACTGGGATCATGTAGGTGGGAGCAGGCGCCCTTTGGGGGCCTGTGCACATTTGGCAAGTTGGAAAACTATCCTGCATGCCACCAAAAATGGTTGGAATGGGAGATGTGGCTAGTAACCAGTCCAAAGGACTGCGTGCTTGGCACAGGCAGGGTTTAAGTCCCAGTACAGTAAACAGGTTGCTTCCAACTGGCTCTCCCAGCCTCTCTTAGCTTCCCAGACCCCCACTACACACACACACACACACACACACACACACACACACACACACACAAGCTGGCTTGTCACTTCCCTTCCTAGCCACACCCCTGTTTACTGGGTTTGTCCATTTCATCTACTTCAGTATTCTCATGAACTGAGGATGGGTCTGTGCTGATGAAGGGACTAGTTATGCCATTAAGAGCAAACTCAGTTCTCAGGAGCCCTGATCACAAGGTCACCGGGTACAGAAGGAGCATGTTTACTCCATGGTTGACCCTTTTTCCTTTTTCCCATGCTGCGAAGAAGGCAAAATGCTGTGTTTGGGAACCCTGCTGCAGGGAGAGCAGAGCTGGCCCTCCAACCCAGGCTGGCTTGACCTGCACTGAAGATGAATGTGCGGGGAGGTACAGACTTGCCCCATTCATCACATCACAGCGTTTTGATGGCAACAGTACTACACCGGAGCCTGTTACAGTCTGTGAGGGCTGTCCTAAGTGGCACGGTGTGGGGCAGAGCTAAGTGGCAGCCTGCCAGAAGGCTGTTGGGCCTTTTAGTCCAGCAGATCTTGGGGGTTCCAGTGTCCCTCACGGGAGGCTGGCCTAGATGAGCAGCCTGATCTTGGGGTGTTGTAGCAAAGCAGAAGAGTTTGGGATCCAGAGGAACACCTGTTTTAGGGCCTACTATCAGCAGGAGCCTACACCCTGCTACAAGCTTGGCTGTCACCTGTACTAAGCTCCTCTGTGCTGATGGAAGGGTTCATCTCCTCTACCCTAGCCCCCCATCAACAATCCAATCCAGAGCTAGAACTGTCCTGCGTAGCTTGTAGATAAAGTTAACTTCAGCAGCCCTCCTCACCCTGCTGCCTTCCTGCAGGGTTGACCTTGAACTGGAGCGCCTTCTTTCCTATGTGCCAGCCCACCCCTTGAGATCTGAGGTAGAGGTCCTTCTCTGGGAGCCCTCTTTGAAGGAAATTAGGAGGGTAGCTAAGGCCTTTTCAGCAGTGGCACCCTGACTGTGGAACACATTCCCCAGGGAGGTTCGCCTGGTCCCGTTGCTTTATTCTTTTCGATGTCAGGCGAAGTCCTTTTTATTTTCCCAATATTTTAATATTTAACTGATTTTATTCTTGTTTTTATCACTATTTATTGGATGTAGGGTGTTGTATGTTGTTGTTGTGGTTTGTTTTTGGTTTTTATTCTTTGTATGCCGTCCAGAGGCTTTTTAGTAATGGGATGGCATATAAAAACTGTAAATAAATAAATAAACTGTCATAATGCTCTCACCAGCTTAGCTCAGCACTAACTTTCACCCTGCAGGTACAGGTTCGGGTCTCTGGCATTTCCCTATAAAAGGAATCTTGGCCTGGAGGGCAAGGAAAGGCATCTCAAATGGACACCATGGGGAACCACTACCAGGCTAAACAGATTCTTCTGGGCTGCATCCCCCATCCCAACCTGTTATCCCCCAGATATTTCAGACGACAACTGATATCACCCCACAGTTGCCCACAAAATGGGCAGGGACTGAGAGGAACTGTGGTCTAAAAGATCTGCAAAGTGCCAGTTGAGGAAGGCTCAGCATGGAGGTCCTGAATATGACACTGTGTAACACTGCTGTATAGACTCTCCCACTCCCTGCAACTAAAGCAATGTTATTTCCTGCCTTTAAAGCAAAAGAGTGACAAAAATGTATGAGAAAAATGTGTGTCTTTGGGCATGTGCATGATCCTTGGAAAGCCAGTCTGCATCGCTGATTGGGGACCCTCGCCTGTGTTGACCGCTTCTTCTCTCTTCCCACCCCACCCCCATCTCCAGGCTTCTGAAAAAGGAAGAACATTTTATCTTCATTCCTCGGTCCCGTGAAGAGCTTCCAGACAACTTTCCAAAGGAAATTCCGGGGATTTGTTATTTCCTGGAGGTCAGAACTGGTCAGAAGCAGCCAAAGTCCTCTGTCACCTCTGCCAGAGTGAGAAAGATTTCCTACAACATTGGTACCATGTTCCTGCGGGAAACGAGCCTATGAGGCCTACTGCAGATCAAAGACTCATCAAAAAAGCACAAGCCCAGAACTGGGTCATGACAGGAGAGAGGAGTTTCTTTCTTTTTCACTGCATTGTTCCAGGCAAGCAGTAAAAGCTCCGTGAAATGTCAGGCAATAATTCTTTTTAAAGGTGGGTGACTGCTATCAGTAAACAAACTGGAAAGGGGCAGGGGAGGGAGCAGGGATTTTTTAAAAATTCTAATTAAACAAAACACTTCTGTGTTAACAGAGCTTCTGTTGGTCATCCGTGTCAAAGTGGAGTCAAAGTCAAACCCATGGATTCCACATTGAGCTGCTGTGGATGGGGGCATGTCCTAATGTGCCAGGAGGTCGCAATTGTATCTGTCCAGATGTTATTGGTCTCCCATCTAGTGCTTCTTGGAGCAGTAGTCTAACAACATCTGGAAGAGCGCAGGTTGCACATCAGTGCCCTAAGCATCATGTCCCCTGTACAAGAGCCATGAAATGAATGGAGTGCTGGCTGAATTGCTGCATTCTGTTCCGAATGGTTTCCTTTTGGAAGGCTTAGTATTCCTGCCCCCGCTTTAAACACCCTCCATTCATGTCAACAGAACGAGGGCACACCCACTTCCCAGGCACACGTAAAATGCTTAGGAGTCACAGCAGCAGAACTTGGAGGATCATACTCTAGATTTGCACCAGCTCATCAGACCATGCCTGTTCTGATGCATCCCTCCACCTAAAAGTGTTTCTCACCAAGGCTAAGGACTTCTGCTTTATTGTTTAAAAACAAAAGAACACATCATACAAATACTGTAGAGATCATTTATAACCCTCCTCCCAGGATGAGTTGTAAGTCAGTGTATAATACCATAGGAAGTTTACCTATTTTTTTATCCATTTCATTTTCTGGACAATACTACATGTGCTGTAACAAAAGTGAGGCTGGCGCACCACTGTATATTCCATGCCATCTCTCCAACTCTCTTGATGGTGACTGAAATGATGAGAAAGGCCATTTCTTCGGGAGTTTGTAAGAACTACATTTGGGGTGTGTTTTATTTCTTTTTTCTGGTATACGTGTCTTGGATATTTTAACCGATGTTCCGTATGTGTCTCACTAGTGTATTTGTCCTGGCATCAGACCATTGCAAGCAGAACAGTCATCGTTACGCTCAGCTCGTGTTACGTTTTAGGATGTGGGACATCCTAAGGCACTGGTGTTCAGGAATGACCTGAAGTTCTCAGCCAATCTTGATAGAGCTTCAGCCATCTTAACTCTGTTTGAGTTCTATCTGCAGCATTTTTAGATATGCTTGCCATGTAACAGACGCCAAGTAACAGACGCCAAGTAACAGACCTTTGTAGAGAAGGAAACACACCTAAAAGTAGGTGGTTCAACATCACAGTCTTCTTGTCCTCTGAACTGCTCCCTTGCTGTCATGTATCGAAGATCTTCCTTTTGTACTGCCCATCAGTTTATCCAGTATTTCAGCATTCACAGTTACTAACCTGGATCAAAATTTCCACCTTTGAGTGCTGTTAGATTTAATGAGGATTTTAGAATAAGGGGAGAAAAATAACACATCTCTTGAGCAATATCCTATTATGTCTGCAAGTGCAACTACTCACACAGTGGGGGATTATCAGTTGGAAAAGTGACTGGTTGGAGCAGAAATGCTCCTTTTCAGAATAGGACAGGTCAACCAGGCTTGCAGAAGGGAGCTCTCCTGGACTGCCCCAGTCCAGGAAGATCATTGCTAAGGTTCCTTTTAGACTGCTAATTCTGCATTACAATAATACTTTCTCCTACTGGCACAATGCAGTCCCTTTGTCCACCATGTTGATACTCACCATTACTTCACAGCTTTCCAGATTAAATACTGCATTTTAGAAATATTCCATGCTTCAGAATCCTGGTGTCAAGTGTCAGAAGTGTGGATGGATTCCATATTCTGCAGAGTTTTGTTTCCATTCTGCCTTTTTTTATAGTCTAACTACCCTGAGAGTAACTTCAGCTCTGTGCTGTAAGGTTTTTAAGTAATAACTCTTCCATATTAAGTTATCTTGAGTATGTAGGGTAGGGTAGGACAGGACAGGACAATGATAGGTGGTGATTGCTGAACTAGTCTGGTAGTTCATTAAAAATTATATCTTAGTTCATCCCAGGCTGAACATCAGCAGCAGTATGAGGGAGCTGCTATAAGCATAATGTCCCAAGCATAATGTCCCAAGCATGAGAAATCATTGTTCCAAGCTGTTTTGCACTAGCAAGCCACCAGCAGTATGAGTATGCAGACTGAAGGGTTTCCGGAATGTTGCCTAGATATTTCATCCAGAGTAAAACTTCACTTGGATGAATAAATAAGGTCATGTACATTTTTAATGCAGATTAATTTGATTAGAGAATTTCATGTTAAATATTGCAGCATTCATTTTGACCCATCCTGTTGCTGGACACTTTAAAGCATTTTATATCATTCATGTATTTTTGCATCACCAATAGCATAATTCCCTGACTTGGCAAACCAAACCACCATATGCTCTAAAGAATATAATGCCATATAGGGAGATAGTTGTCAAAACTCAGAATCTGAACTCGAGGTCAGAGTCTTACAAAGTGAAAAATTGCCCGGTTGGTCTATTGCAGAAAAAACAACAGACTCTCATGACACCTTAAAGACTAGCAGATTTATTTTGACATATGTTTTTGTAATAAAAGAAAAGCCATGCAAGGGACAGCACTAGGTTTGCAAAATTGCTAGGCAGAGACCAAATGAATACAAGAGAAGAATGGAGTCACATTTGGACTCTGTTTAGATGTTGTACCATTCCATTTGCATGACTTTTTGATGTACTGATTACATTTTGTACCCTGCACCTACACAAATGTATGCATTTGCATGTATGTATATACAGCTACATACACATATACATACATACGTATTACAACAGACCAGAAAATTTCATTCATCCAATGAAGTAGTCTCTAGAACATGAAAGCCAATGCCAGAATAAATCTTGCTAATCTCTAAGGTGCTACAGGAGTCTTGGCTGGCATGAAGAGTGTAAATCAACACAGTTCCAGTGCAACCTGGATGATTTATGCCCAGTATGTTTCTTGATACCTGAAGGTGAAGCATTGAAACATATTGCATTTTTCTGTGTTGTGTCCCTGGAGCTTTCTTGACAGTTAAGCCATGGCTGACAAGCCTCTTCTGCAATAGTGCCTACAGTTGAATGCTAATTTGAAGCTCAGCACTGCCCATTGTTTTACAGATGAGCTCTCAGGTTTATATTTGTACAGGAGTTCCTTGCAGGGATAGGGGTTAGGGTTGGAACAGGAATTTAAGCTGGTCAGAGGTGGAAGGCTGGGCAGCCTTCACTGCAAAGGCAATTCAGTGAATAAGACTGAATCTCTATGCTCATGCATATGGAAGAGTTCTCAAACAATGAGGTGTGGATGGGAAAAACAGAACCTTCCTTCAGGCCACTTCCTTCCCATTTCAGTTAATCCAGATCAAAGCTAGCCTTATCCTTTCTCAGCAGTATAGGGCAATGCGTCCTAATGGGTAGTAATGCAGGAGAAGATGAATTATACTGCAAAATTGAGATCCTTTAAAATATAGTATGGCTCTTAGTTCAAATGTTTAGAAAAGCTCAAATTTGGGGTCTCTCACATGCCCAAATTTGCACAATCCCTCTAAACAGCATTGATAAGGTCATTTTAGAAGGTCTCTCTTTGAAAACCATAGCCCCAGAAAAGAGCTTCTTTAATGCCAAATCCCATTGGAAAACTCAGTTGGATACTTCTAATTGCAAACACACTGAAGAGTACTAGAGTTCTGCAGAAGTCTGCTTGAATTAACAGGGCTAAATAAAAGGGGAAGCATGGATTATGCCATGCAGATCTGAAACATATTATAGCTAGAATAAAATATGCACATTGCTAACTTCTACAACCATATGCAAGTCAGTAGCATGTAGATAGAGTTGTGTGCACATCCTGCGCTACATTTTCACTTTTGTTTAATTTTCACTTTTGTTAATCACCCAGTGAGCCTTGGCTACTGGGTGGAAAAAAATGCTAAATAAATAAATGCATTTGAGTCTCTAAGCCAGAGTTGTCATGGAGACAACTTTGCAGTGAGATTGCTTCTTTTAGGTTTTAACTTCTTAAATTTGTTTCTCAATATTCAGCTCTTGTCCTCTCAGTATGCAGTATTTCAAACAATAAAACTAATTATGATTATGAACATCACCGGGACAGTGGGCGCAAAGTCCACCAAGCATTTCTGTTCTGCCAGCGCCATTCATTGCAATGGGGTTTGTGTGGGCGTCTGTTCAGCCCAGGCCCTAACTGAGGGATGTTGCAGGGCAGCGTGCTTCAGTGATCTGTCCCCTTTGTTTCTAGACAGGTAGAGAGTCGAGGGATGCTAATCATTTGAACAACGATGTCCAGAGGCAGGAGTGATGGTTCTCAGTGAAAATGCTGAGCCAACATTTAGTTGCCATTTCAAGCAGCTACTTTACAGTAAAAAAATGGATTCATAATTACAGAGATCAGTGCAAAACCCAAACCGTTGGTGTCAGCATCTCCATGGCGATAAATGACAGTGTTTGCAAATAAATCAACTCACTCTCAAAAGAAAGAAGAGCTTCCCACAAGGAGCCTATAGACAGTGGTGATACTGGCTAAATATCCATTTTTAGTGCAAAGTTTTGTGTTCTGTGCTTCCCTATTATGACAGTTCTAAAGTTCCTTTGGGGAGTATTTCTCTAATTCCTTTTTAAGAAAAGCTCAACAGTATTGCTAGGTTTATGGTTGCCATAACTGCCACATTATTCTATACCTTGAGGAGAAAATCATGGGCATTTTCCATCAAATCAAGCAAGAATATAATTGCTTTTTCTGTTTAGATAAACAGATGCTGGGAACCAGATGGATCTATTGCATCTTTTTGGGAGGGACCTTTGAGATTCTGCACAGTCATGTGGTTTTCTAAGTGCTGGAAGATTATGTAGTGTGGAGAAGTTTAACAGGCACTGCTTTGCAGAATGTCTGAAGAGAAAGCAAGGCAACATAAAATATAAATGAATGCTGGATGAATATCCAAATGTGAAACATGCTGAGGAATGAGTTAGTTTTCTGGGGCAATTTGCTGTGTTAAACTTTTGGTGGCATACCATACTGGGTTTGAATTTCAGGATCATTAATCCTGCCCCTGGGGCATCTGGTTGGACTGGATCACCATTGGATCCCTTCCTGCTGCTTGACTTTTTGAGCTTACTTGGTACTTGACAAGGTGCTCACAATGAAGGCCTGCTTTTAGTTAGAACTGAAATGTTGAATGTCTTGCAGCATGCTCAGTATCGTGATCTATTTCACCTTTCAGTCATGATCGTTTCCTGTCATAATGACGAACAAGGAGTTCATAATTTCTATAACACGTGCTGTGTAATCCATTATCCTGATTCAAGCCAGAGATAACTGCATTTAGCTTCTTGGTGAAACTGCTACACTGCACCTTACCAAGTGCAGTTCTATCACCCATAGCCCACATTGAGGTTCCGAGTTTGTAGCCCATGTATTCATTTGCTTAATCATCCCAGGATATTTGTGTTATCATCATTACCAATTTGTGAATAGCTACTGTGCTTATTTTACGGCCATTCATGCTTTAATGTAATTGTCACGGTCTATACTTTTGTATTTCATTTCCCTCTGACATCACAATTTATAGTCCCTCTCTCCTACATACATGCATGAGTGTGCATGTGCGTACACACAAACACAATTTATTATATTAAACCACAATTACCAAATTTTTCCATACCTTGAAGATAAAGTCAAAAGGAGAGAGAGCAACAGAGAGAGCGAGGGGGAGAGAGAGAGAGATCACAATCTAGGAATAACTTCATGCATTGGATGAAATGGACTCTAGCTGATGCAACTGGCATCATAACACATAAGTTTTTAAAGAAGCCAGAAATCTCTCTGTTGTTTTTGTTCAAATCTCTCTGTTGTTCTTGCTCAAAAGATTTACATGCTATATATCTGGAAGTGGCCACAATGGAAGGCATTCTCCTTATTGCACACCCTTCCATCCCTTTTTACTCAACCTATGCACTTACAAGACACAGTCCAGCATGAGTGAGTCCTGACTAAGGCTGCAGTAGCACAAACCTATTTGGGAACAAGTCTGATTGAGCAGGCACCATTTTGAACTGCTTTATAAAGAAAGAATTTTGTCTTGAAGCAGGGATGCAAGCTAAATCCACTGAGTACCTTCCAATACTTAAAATTCTCTACTAACCCATACTTCTTCTCTGAAATCCTCTTTAATTGCATAATAGCCAATAGTTTTCATGGACCACTCCAGTTTCTATTTGTGTCAGTAATTAAACCATTTCAAGAATGGTCCATTGGCAGTATCTTCTCCAGATGGTGCCAGGATTGCCATCTGACATTTGTTGCAGGTAAAAGGTATGACACTCTGCCAAATTCAAGGGAAAGGAATGGACGCAGTGTTCCCATCTGCCATCTGTCCATTCTGAGCCAGCCCTATTATTCCTGTCACTTCTGAATATATCATACTCATTCACATATTTGCAGATAATTCTCTAACGATTCTAGTAATTCATTGTAATGGATAGAGTACTCAGCAATGCTGCAATCGACTTTCAGTAGGCAAGTTCAATTAGTAAACAAGCTCCATTGTGTTTAGCCATCATATTCCAAGCAACACATGTCCTACTGAGTCTCAAATAAAAGGAGGGAATTTTTATATGTGTTCTTCCATTCCGTTCCATTCCATTCCTGAATTACTCTGGCATTTTAAAAAATCCCCAAAAATTGAACTTGTGTTTCTATCTCTCTCTGTCATACGTATAAACATGTGTTACTCTGAAAATGCTATTTTAAATGCATTTTTATCTATTTTTTGAACTGAGAACTATATTACGACATTCAAAGAGTGCTAAAGTCAGTGGATAACTGAATTATCCAGTATGTATCCATCAGTTCAGTTCCTGCTGGAATTCACAGACTGAATTCCTCAAGGATCCCTACTTTTAAGCATATAGCTCATCACTGGTCTCGGAAACATGTTCTTCAGTCCCCATATAATCGCTTAAATGCTGTGAGCCCATGTGCTTCAGGGCCATTTCATGCAGCACCTGGGCCCACAGTGTTTAAACAAATAGTGATACATTCATGTGTATCACTTGAGAACAAAATCCAGGATGGCCCAGAGCTTTGAAGGGTTAAAAATACTTGTGTCTGGAATGAGGTGAGGTTAGAGTTCTGCCTGCAAGTTGAAACTATGATTAGTGGTTTCCACCTGCAATTCATTCCTTGATATTGCAGTTTATGAATGAAAACTTAAGGGTTTTTAGGGCTTT